AGTAACACCAGAAACGTTTTTGGCTCTTTATCTCTGCATTAAGTGGCAGATATGACTGTTGGTTTCCCTCAACTTGTGGAAGTCCTATAAATAGGACATAGAGCTGCAGATAAAAAATACACAACATTTTCTTGCATTCAGAACTCTCTCAAAGCCTCACGCATCATATCATAGTGCTCGGTTCTCGACTTCATTCTTGTTCGACTGGACTCTGAAGGCTGGTGTGCTACAGCTTCCGAGTGTTAAAGCCGTTGTATCTTTGGGGGCATTACGCACTAACCCGTCAGCACTACACGGGGCGTATTTGTCTTGCGGATAGATTTCAATCGCCTCGGCTCAAATCTCTCCGCGTTCGAGTTGTAATTTCAATTTTTGTTTTAGTTCTTTTGTACGAACTGAACACTTCAGTCAGTTCATAGGTTCCCGTTGTAATACAAAACACACATTGTGTAACACGCGGAACGAGGTATGCGCCACTGCGCTAAACCCTCTTCGTCCAATGAGTAGGCACTTTCTCTTTCCATGCTCGTCAATTTACTCAGCAAAACTCTCGCAGTCTCCTGGCAGCCGGTGAGTAAGACTTTTTTCTGGCGATTTTCCCCTTTCAATTTCTTCTTTTTTTCCTTTTTAATTCTTGTGCATAAACCATAGAAGATTAAGGTTATGTTCGACTCTCTAATTTTGACTTGCAGCATTTTATCTCAGCTGGATTTAATTATTTTACTATTTTTACCCCAATTTTGTCATCCGTATTGTTGAATTTTGTTCTTATTTTTGGTTTAATTCTTGAATTAAGGAAATAAAAATCGTGTCCTCATTTGTGACGTTTGTCTATTTAGTGATTTGAAGACCTCTTCACAATACCCTTTTCTTCTTGAGCTGAATTGTGTACACTTGTAACATATACACACACACACAAACAAACAAACAAACAATTAAAGATTTGAGTGTTGGTTTAAAAGAGCCTCTTTTGCTTGTGAATTTAGCTGTGAGCAGAAATATTTCTAAATGTGGTTTTTACAATTAAAGATTTTGTATTGTGGATGTTCAAGCTCTGTCAATATAGCCCGGTGAATGTAGAGTTCTATTTACCATGTTCAAGCTTTTGTTCTCAAGCCTTAACAAGTATACAATTTGCAATGACTTTACATTTGTCATATATTGTTGGCTAATTTTATAAATATTGATCGATTGTAACAATGCTAAGGCTAGCATAACAAACAAAAACCAAGAACACAATTGTATTCAAGTTGGTTCGAAAGAAAAAAAGAATCAATCATAATCGGGTATAAAAGGCATAAATTATGACCCGATCAAAGACAGAGATTTTGGATGCTCCACTTAACATGATCGGTTTTGAACTCGACGAAGTTTCAGCTAGTAAAGTTTCGGGCCACCTCATAATCACTCCAGAATGCTGCCAGGTACTAATCGTTTAAATTTCATATATATTATAATAATTGATAATTTATTATTAAGTTTAACTAATTTGAGATTGTGCAGTACCATATGCTTCATGGAGGGGTATCGGCAATTATAATTGATGCCTTAGCAAGCATACGAGCTCATATTGCCTCTGGATTTCACAGAGTGGCCGGCATACAACTTAGCATTCACCATCTCGAAACTGCACAGCCTGGTGATTATATCGTTGCTGAGGCTAAACCAGTCAATCTTGGCAAATCTGTTCAGCTGGAAATATTAGTGATTACTGTTATTATATTGCATTTTTTTATACGAACGAGATTACAGGTCGTGTATAATGCATTCAATTCAAAATTTTTATTGCAATTTTTTTTAGCAGGTGTGGGAAGTTGCTCTAATGAAATGCGGTCCTTCTAAAACCGATACTAAAACACTAATTGCGTCCTCAAGACTCACATTACTTTGCAACTTGCCTGTGCCGGATATTGCTAGAGATGCTGCTCAGAATCTTAAAAGATACTCAAAGTTATAGACCGGCTTAGTTCTTCACTTGGATTTCTTGTATTTTTTATTTATTTGGTTATTTTTTGTAGCACATTGCCACTTGTTTGGAGGATTTGATGTTTACAGGCTTGTAATGATACAATGATTTTATGTTTGTTGTGTGTAATGTGAAGAGTAAGAATAATGAACAAGTGACACAAATTTGTGTAAAATTAAAGAAAACCACAAGTAACACAACCCATTAAAACATTTTATTCATTCATAGATCAATCCACATGTTACAACAGAACAAATAAACTACACTTTATTTCTTATATTTTTAATAAAAAAATGAATTAAAAAAAAATTCAAATCTAATTTTATGAAGACCAATAAACTTCTAAAGTACGACATTGGTGTGATCAGTTTTTTTAATTACCTATGTATGTACATGAATATCGGGTTTTGTACGATTATTGGAGCCGAGTTATGGGGGTTGTTTCAAGGATTAATGCTGGCGTGGGATATTGGGGCCCGTAAGATCACCGTTGAGGTCGATAATAAGAGTATTATTGATATGGTCCAATATGATGATTATAGCGGCCCTCATGGAAGTGTGGTGAAGGGGATTAGGGAGCTTTTGGACCGTCCTTGGGTTGTGGGTATCATTCATGGCTATAGGGAGGCAAATTTCGTGGCGGACTATTTGGCATCATTGGCGGCAAAGGGTCCCGTTGGTTTTCATCGCTTGGAGTCCCCCCCGGAGGGAGCGGGCATTTGGTTACATCATGACGTGATCGGCATGTCGTATTCTAGGAAGATTATTATCTAGTTTTTGTAGGCTTTGCCTCCTTTATTGTACCAAAAAAAAAAAATAATAATGTACAAAAACACCTAAATTCAAAACATGCTAATCGCCTTTCGACTTTAGAAGTTTAGTTATACGGCAATTAGGTGAAACCGTTCCCAAGTTCACAGACGGCTTTGGATTTCTCGCCACATGTCCCGGTAGTTAAAGTGAGAAAAAGTAAGACACTACCTCAAATAAACTTAAGAAGTTTATAGCCATTAGATTCTGTTTTGATGTATATTTAATGAAGGGCTGGGATTTAACTGTTGTTGGGGCTGTTGTTATTTAATCGCAGCAACCCCCTTTACCCGATGATTTAGGGACCGAACTGGCGGGTCGACCCGGGACCCTAGAGTCGGAACCAGTCCGTCCGAGTAGGCTATTTAGACCGGGTAACAATGAAGCCAGTCAAAACCCAGTCAACCCGGTCAAGTCGGGCCCTTGATTCGGCTGGGTCAATCCAGTTGACCCAGCCCTTATATATTTTTTTATTTTTTAAAATATTTTTTTATATAAAATATAAAAATTATGTAAATATATTGATATAGTAAATACTAGTACGATACCCTTGTATTACACGGGTGCTTGTTAAAAAATTATTCTTGAATTTTAAAATTAATGAAAAAAATTATTTCAAATTTTATTTACTTTTTTACTTATATTAAGTTTTATTTAATTTAAAAAAAATATATATATATTATTATGTATTTTAGATGACACTTGTTAATTGTGCAACTTACATTGTTATTTTATTGTTGTTATAAAAATAAATATAAATTATTTTTTTATACATACAATATGAATGTTAAATTGAACTTCATAAAACATAATAAAGTTATTAATTTTTAAAATACATTTACAATTCATTGGTTGTAATAAGAAATATTATCAATATGCAATTAATGCATTTAACATGACCATATGTAATCAATATATTTATAGATAATCCAGATCTATTTATTATGTTTGGATTGGAAGTAAATTAAATTCTACCCAAGCCTAAATCACATAGGATGTCGAATCATGCGAGTCTGTCACTTAGACTCAATATGTTATGAATTAATTTATAAAGGGGATTTGTGTAATATTCATTAGACTTTCACACTATACAAATACATTAATTAGTCCCGCTCACCTGCCAACGGTGGGCAGTGTCCACCACTTCATTTTACATGAAAAACGTATTCTGAGAATACGTTTTTCAATTAAATTAATTGAAAAACGTATTCTCCGAACACGTTTTTCATGTAAAAAAAAGTGGTGGGCACTGCCCACCGTGGGCAGGGGATCAAAATTTATACATTAATTATGAAATAGTATTATACACTAGTACAACGTCCGTGTATTACACGGGTGCTTGTTAATTTATTTTTTTTACAATTTAGAATTAATGAGAAAAAGTAGTTGAAAATTTAAATACTTTATATATATATATTATATATTATATATATTACATATTATATATATATTATATATTTCTAACTTATAACATATCCTCCCTAAATATAATTCTCGAATACACTGAGCCTACGTGGCTGTTTCTGGTGGTTCAGAATCCTACTTGGCGAAGAATCATGCTTCGTAATTAGGTTTGGACAAATAATATTGATATATTAATAATTAATAATTTAGGTTCGGACATTCCATAAATATTATTTAGCTAAATTAGGTATTTTGATATCTTTTTTACTAATATAACCCTTTAATTCTTTGTAATTTTATATAGTGAGACACTAAGTGACTAATATATCCCTGACTTTTGATTTGTTTCCTTCAATTAGCTATTGAATTGTAAATTTGTTTTAAAAGTTGATAACTTTTGTATTTCATATCGGTTTTACATATATGATATATCAAATTAATCTTCTTTTGATCATCTTCGATTTGACATCCATATTGTATATATGAAATAAATAATTTTATTTATCTTTATAATAATAAAAAATAATAATATTTATTAAAAATCATTAGAAAAATAAAACTATTTATCAATTGATATATTTATGTTTAATGTAATTATATGTTGTAAGTTAAAAAAATTATTATAATATAACAATGGTAAGTCGCACAAATAAAAAAGTGTCATACTAAATATATAATAATATATATATTTTTATAAAAGGTATTGAAATTTTCAATTAATTTTTCTCATTAATTTTATATTTTAAGAAAATATTAGCAAGCACCCGTGTAATACACGGGCGTTGTACTAGTAACTACATTAAACATGAACAGCCAACCTGCGGTAGGATATTGTCCGCTTTGGGCACCCTCAGCCACACGGTTTTGCCTTTGAGGGCTAGGTTTTACCTTTGGAACTAGCTCACCAAAACGCGTTCTGCTAGTGAAGATATCCACAGCCACTTATAAGACATGTTTCATTCTCCTTCATAACCGATGTAGGATACTACAATCCACCCCTCTCGGAGGCCCAGCGTCCTCGCTGGCACATGGTCCCAGTACTGGCTCTGATACCATCTGTAACAGCCCAGTCAACCCGTGGTAGGATATTGTCCGTTTTGGGCACGCTCAGCAGCACGGTTTTGCTTTTTGGGAGCTAGCTCACCAAAACGCATCCTATTAGTAAAGGTATCTACAACCACTTATAAGGCATGCTTCATTCTCCTTCACAACCGATGTAGGATACTACACATGACTCTGTGTTTGTTGATATTGTTCGTATTTATGCTGTTCTAAACAGCTTGGCTGACTTTGTTTTTGATTCCTCGATTAGTTATGTGCTGGTTGGTTATGTTATGCGGGGAGGTTATTATAAGTGTTGCAGAGGTTTTCTTGTCTGAAAATAATTGTTCTGTATTGAGTTTGAGAGTAGAGCCCCTATCTTGTTTTTTTTTTTTTTTTTTTGGTTGAATTGATTTGTGGCTTATAAGTTGAATTGCGTTCAGATTGCTTGGATGGTTGTACTTGAGGCAAAATTACAAATAAATGAACAAGACCTTACACCCAGTGGTTATTCGATGTAGTAAATTTTGAACAAAAGTAATTGCCAGCGTATATTGCATTCGTCTTGTGACTTGTGCTAATAATGGACTAGATCAAAACGACTCAATTAAATTCTAGTGCTTCTTCTATTAATGAAGTCCTTAGAAAAAATATATCAAACGATGCAATGCACCTTGGATCGCTACGGAAACAACCTCCTTGTATAATTACAAGGGTAATGTATGCGTACAACTGACCCCCCAGACCCCAACCTGTTGAAAATATACTGAGTATGTTGTTGTTGTTGTTGTTGAATATAGCTGGTTATGTTGATGTTCAGATGCATGTTTCTATTCCTTATTTTAATCTGGAACGATAGATTTACATATTACGTGACGTTTTCTGAAGATTTATAAGTAAAGGTTAATTGCAAAAACTACCTGCCGGATTCCGCTTAGCTGAAAGTAATCATTTTATGAGGGATGAATGTGAACTTGTAAGTAGACCATTCGATGTTGCCACTATCGTTCAGAATATCCTTTGTAGGCCACATTTTGATGTTTTTTTTTTTTTGTTTACAAACGACATCAACTTAATAGATAACATCACAAAATCTAAGTTGCTTTACGATTGTTGTTTCCTTCGATATGAGAGCTCCAAAAACACTTTGGTGGTGGCCCCAAGAAAAGAACCGTTTTGATATAACTCATTCGACGTTCAATACAATCTAGAATTATAGATGCGTATAAAAAATTGTTATAGATAAAAAAATAAGTAGTTATCAAATGTTCTCACTCAATTTGGATTCTCTTGGTAGTCAATACAAAACAATGTTGCAGTAATCTTATAGGATTCAGGCACAAAAATTGAAAGTTAGAGACCTATTCGATTGAAAATAAGATGTACCCATATTATATATTTTTTAATAAATAAAAGCTAACCAACTATCAAACAAGTTTGGGAAATTATTCCCTCACTGTGAATTCATAGGTACAACTTTCTCACTCCCATCCTCGTTTCATTCACCGTCCACAATCACAACTATCACACTCTTTGGCCAATTATACATTCTCATTGTGAATTCGTAGGTACAACTTTCTCTTTTCCATCCTCGTTTCATGCACCGTTCACAATCACAACT